GTCTATACCTACATTATAGAGGGTCTTTGTCATGAATGAGTGTTGAATTTTATCAAAATTTCAAGGAATTTAAAGGAAATTTAAAGAATTTAAAGAAATTTAAAGGAAAAAAAAATTTTTTAAAATGAGTCATTAAAGTTTTTTAGCAAAAGAATGAAACAATAAAAGGTGAGGGTTTTATTTTGTTTTATAAGATTAGTCTTTTGTCTTTGGAATAAAACGAAATGCAGAGACTAGAGTTCTGAGGCCAACTAAAGCAATAATACAAGCATGAAGTAACAAATGCCTAATCTAGGATTATAGTAATAGAAATAAAACCATATTTTCAAAAAAAAAAAAAAATCAATAAGACTTCCTGACAAACTCAGTATGTGGGCTGAATGCAACCAGACAAGTCAAAGTAACTCCATCTACTTCCCAATTCTATAGTCCATAAATTACAAAGAGAGTGTAAGGTGATATGGACACTATAAAATAGTTTTGGTTACTTGCCTAAAAGTTATTTAACCTGTCATATTCATTTAACATATCCTATGAACTGAGCATGTCGTCTTGGATACAGTAGGTGCTGACTGAATAGATGAATGAATTTATATTTCTTTTTTCTTGCCTTATATCACTTTTTACAAGGTAGGAAGTATATAATTATACATATATATAGTTTTAGATATATAATTGTATGTGTGTACTTATATATGCACATATAAGACATGTGTGCACATATATGCATATATGATTATACACACATCCCTGTCTCTTCTAATGTATTTTTTTTTAATACACAAAGGTCATAATATTCACATAGGACAAAATCTTTTACTTGGATTTANTTATACATATATATAGTTTTAGATATATAATTGTATGTGTGTACTTATATATGCACATATATGACATGTGTGCACATATATGCATATATGATTATACACACATCCCTGTCTCTTCTAATGTATTTTTTTTAATACACAAAGGTCATAATATTCACATAGGACAAAATCTTTTACTTGGATTTATCCAGTCAAATGTTAATCTCTTCTTAACAATCCTTGCTCCAAATCTTTTTCTATCTGACTTACTAGTGATATGCATTTTTCTTCCTAAAGATATTATGATCTGAATATATTTTGTTAGAGAAAATATGCAAATGGTCAATAAGCACATTAAAAGGTACTCAACATCATTAGTAATCAGGGAAATGCAAATCAAAACCACAATGCGATACCACTTCACATCTTCTAGGATGGCTTTAATTCAAAAAGTAGATAATAACAAGTGTTGTCAAGGATGTGGAGAAATTGAATCCCTCAGATACTGCTGGTGGGAATGTAAAATGGGCAGTCACTTTGGAAAACAGATAGTAGTACCTCAAAAAGTTAAACATAGAGTTATTTAACACAGCAATTCCACTCCTAGGTACATACCCAAGAGAAAGAAAACATACATCCACAAAAAAACAAAAACTCCATATACAAATGTTTATAGTAGCATTAAATATAATAGCCAAAAGATAGAAATAGCTTAAATGTCTATCAACTGATAAATAGATAAACAACATGTAGTATATCCATACAATGAAATATTATGTGGCCATAAAAAAGAATGAAGTACTGATACATACTACAAATAGATGGAGGTTGAAAACATCATGCTAGGCAAAAAAAACGTCACAAAGGGCCACATATTGTATGATTTCTTTTATAAGTACTATCCAGAACAGGCAAAGCTATAAAAACAGAACGTAGATTAGTGGCTGAGGGAGGGAGGATTAAGGGGTGGTGATAGATAAAGGGTTTCTTTTGGGGGTAATGAAAATGTTCTAAAATTAATTGTGGTAATAGATTGCACTACTCTGTGAATACATTAAACACCATTGAATTGTACACTCTAAACTGAGTGGATTGTTTGGCATGTGATTTATATCTTAATAAAGTTGTTGCAAAAAAAAAAAAGTAAGTTACATTTATTACTATAAGGAGAAAGAAAATATTACATATTGCCATAGAAATATATAATCAGTCAGCATTAGCAAGTCTCTTTTACATCAGCAATCGCTCTTAACATAATTTGAGATCTGATTTAGCCTAAAAATCACCAGTCTTTTTTCTGCCAGTATAGATTCAGAAAACTGAGTTCCACTTACCTCTCTAGGCCCTAGCTCCTTTTTGTGATAAATAAAAAGTTATTTGAGCGCCATCACTGTATGTTCCCAAGCCCTAGAAGTTACCACTAATTGAGCACAACACTCTTTTCTGATGAGCCCAAAGTAAGCACAGTTATCCAGGAAGTTCATACCAATGAAGGAACTGGCAGAGGTGAATTTGTATGCCATTCTTGAACTACATAAACTCTGGAGATTCTCCTGATTTTAAAGGTCTGTGATTCTATTCTAAAACTACCAGTCTATATAAAATTCCTGATTTAAAATTTATAATTCACTTAAGAATACTTCTAGAAACCTACACAGCATTTTGAAATCTTTTATAAAAATTATTTTTGTATAGCTTCAAAATAATTTGTTTTAAAATTTAAAACTATATTTTTAAATAAAGTTCACTGTGATATTTCATTATGAATTCATACTTTGGTGACAATATATTTTAGAACACTATTAAAATGGGCCCAGAAATTTGATATGGGCACATATAAGTTATGCAGCTACTCTTTGAAAAGTAATTCCTAGAAATCTGAAAATCATGAAACTTAATCACTATTAAAATGGGCCCAGAAATTTGATATGGGCACATATAAGTTATGCAGCTACTCTTTGGAAAGTAATTCCTAGAAATCTGAAAATCATGAAACTTAATTTTTTTTTTTTAACATTTACCTTTTTTCTTCTTTTGCTCTCAGCTGTTCTTCCTGTCTCAAAACTTGAACCATTATAGATTCAAAAACTCCACTTGTCAAGCCTGCCAAACTTCGTGGTGTTGACCGACGCCTTGTTGAGGTACATGCAGTTCCCTTTTCATCCTTCAATCCATAATAGCCTCTAGATGTTACTGCTATCGTTGTCTTTTCTCTCAAGTGCCTTGGAGAAGAATAAGTCAATTCACAAGGTCAAATCTTCTGGATAAGCAATAAAGCCCCTTAACTAGCATCTTAAGAAGAGTCTCTGTTGCTAACTACATAAAAAGTGTTTAGTTAAACCTTACTTAGCTGTGCTCTAGATTTTTATCCTCCCTATACAATTTCTAATTTTCCTTACTCATGTCATAAAGTCAGTCTGAGTGATGGTCTCTTCCCTATATTTATAAAAAATATAACACTGAAGCATTAAAATTAAGGACTAAAGCACTATCTCTTTAATGGAAAAAAGTTTATTGTTTGCAATGTACTTCATTGGTATTTGAAAAGGTACAATAATACAAAAACATTTTGGGAAACAATATTTACAGTAATACATAAATACTTTGAAGAAATTATAAGCAAATGACATATTACAATATATAACTGTAGGTTAAAATTTGGAAACCTTCCTGACTAAACTGTAAATACAATCTGTAACCTAGATTTCCTCTTCAACCTCACCACAAATATATCTGTACTCTATGATGTTTTTATTAATACACTGAGATACTAATCTAATGCTTAAAGATAATGATAAAAAAGTTACCTAGCAGTATGCTTAATTATCCTTAAGTCCCCATAATGAATTTGAAATAATTGATTAAAACTATCTATATTGGAAAAAGAAACATTACATTAATTTTCTAATGTAAGGCTAGACTAAGAACTGACTTCTGAATTTGCATCTATATAAGGTTAATGTAAAAATCTTCAGGGATAACATCTGCTCGTCTACCTTTGTAAAATACGCCAGAGCCTCTGAAGGTTTTATACATGTTATTGTTTCTACAACGGCAAAATCAATACTTGATGTAAGCATTCCATATATGAGGTAAGAATTTATACAAATTAAAAGTTGACCCTATAGTTATATTTCCCTGCTTTTCTATAGGCTTTCTTCAAATATAAAATAGGCTTAAGGTTCACTAAAACACAAACCTTTATAGCATGAAATACAATCAAAGTTTTGTCCTTCTTGGATTAGCAATGGTTTGTTACTCTAAATTAGAATAATTATATCAAGCTTACCCTCAGTATCATCTATGTCCCATGAATACTATGACTGCAAGGTTCTACTGAACTGTGGCACTATTACGTGTTTTCTCTATTAAAAGGAGATAACACTATAACTAATTCAGCTTTAGGTAGGGCATAAACTTTCAACCAGGTTTCCAGTAATACTGAAGAATTTGGGCTAATCTAGCATACTGTTTCAGGCTGTGATCCTTTAGTGTACAAGAGCATACATCTGTATGATGGTTAATCAAGCTGGAAGTAAAGAATTGTGGGCCCAAGGAAAACAGATACTGAATGGATATACTTGGGATCATTTTAGTATAGTGTTTTTACCAGGTGAACTAACTAGCTCAGTAATTTAATGACTTCATCAATAGTAATGGAAGAGACCATTAGTGGACAATATTATTGAAAATGATGACATCTCAGGTATCACAGTGTATGTAGAACACTGCAGATAATGACCCAGAAAGTATGCACAGCACTAGAGATAAGGTGAGTTGAAGGAAGTGGTAAGACACATGGCTAAATTGTTATATAAGCAAGTGAGAAATTGCATTTTACTTTTAACTTCAGTCTTACAAGCAGACAAAATAAAGTTACAAACTACTTTTTGAAAACAGTATTTTCTCAGAACCAAGACCAAAGAGAAAGTAATATCCTTTATTACTCATTAGAAATAAAAATTTATAAGTTTTGATACTTATCACTTATAATTAAAAGAAAACCCAACCAACTAAGCTGTTTCTCTCTTATGAACATGTACAGATTAAAAAGACTGAAATTATTCAGTGTTGGAGAGGCTATAAGAAAATTTCTTTCTTTTTTTTTTAAAAGATGACCAGTAAGGGGATCTTAACCCTTGACTTGGTGTTGTCAGCACCAGGCTCTCCCAAGTGAGCTAACTGGCCATCCCTATATAGGTATCCGAACCCATGGCCTTAGTGTTATCAGCACCATACTCTCCCAAGTGAGCCGCAGGCCGGCCCAGAAAAAAAAATTTCTCTTATAGCATTAGTGGGTGTATAAACTGACACAGTCTTTCTGGAAGCCAAATTTGGTAATAATCATTAAGGTTTAATACCAACATATCCTTTGACTCACCATGCTTCAAGGAATTTACCCTAAAGACATATCTCTACAACTATGAGCAATAAAACACACTGTATAAACTGACACAGTCTTTCTGGAAGCCAAATTTGGTAATAATCATTAAGGTTTAATACGAACATATCCTTTGACTCACCATGCTTCAAGGAATTTACCCTAAAGACATATCTCTACAACTATGAGCAATAAAACACACGCAGTATTATTCGTTATTAAAAAAGAATATTGGAAACACACGTCCTTTAATATGGGACAGATTAAATAAAGTAATGTACACTACAACATGGAATACCACCCATTCAAAGGAATCAGGTATATGTGCTAGAACTCACTGTAAAAGATGCCCATATTACATTGCTGAAAAAAGACATTTCTGAATAAAATATATTTTTTAAACCAAAAGGAATTATATACAAGTATATATAGATATGTACACACATATATGGCATCTAGTAGTGTATTTGTGTACATACATGAGTTCAAACTCTCACCTACACTATTTCAATCACTTTCTGACAGGTCTCCTGGCTTCTACTCTGATCTCCCTACAGTCTATTCATATACCAACCCAGATAATCTTAATAAAAAGCTAATCAGATCAGGTCATTACCCTGCCCTGTCTTCTCCAAAGTCTTCCAGCTATGCTTAGAATACAATCTAAAGTTTTTATGACCTGTAAGACCTTGTATGACTCACCTACCTCTCCAGATCTCATTTTCTGCCACTCTGATCCTAATTCTTTGTGTTCAGCCACAAAAGTCTCCCTTTTATTCTCAGTCACACCAACACGTCTGCTTCCCAGAATCTTTGCATTTGATTTCTCTCCTGTAAAACACTCTTCCCTAGATATTCATATGGCTGGGCACTACTACTTCATTCAGGTCTCTGTTCAAATGCTACCACACCTGAGAGGATTTCTTTGACCAGGAAATATAAAAGATCCCCTGTCACTCTCTAATCCTTTACACTGGTTTCTTTTTCTTCATGTTACTTATCACTACATAGCATTATCTAATTATCTATTTATTTGGCAATTAGCCATCTTCCCACCAGAATGAAAGCTCCAGGAGGATAGGGACTTTGTTTTGTTAATGCCTGTTATCATCAGAACCTCAAAATGTACGTATATAATAAAGTATTTGGAAGAATACAAGCTGTTTACATTTCATTTTAAATTTACAGACATAATTAAAGTTTAAAAATTCCATTTATCTATTTTTTCATAGTAAAAAGAATCCTGATTAAACATTTGTTAATAACTACTTGAGTTTCTTTCATCAGAGAATAAAATGCAATAAAATAAGATAAAAAACAAATCTCACCTCCAAATAGGAATTATCAAGTAATTAATCAATGATCAAATAAATACACTAAAATAACTCTCCCTTTCTAAAATTCAAGGTTTTCACTGCCTATTAGGAAAGTTATTTCATAAAATCAATCTGACAATAGTTTGAAAATAATAATGTATTGCCAACCATAAGCAAAAGCTAAGCAATAATTATGGTTGACTCACTGAGTTTCACAATTATCCCTTCTTTTTTTATTTTTAAGCAAAGCATGAAAAGTCTTTTCTGTATTAACACATTCCAGATTTCAGAATTCAGAGGCTCGATTCTATTTAAAATTATTAAGATAAGTATTAACAAGGAAGTGAACTGATATTAAGCTTTACTGATAGTTAATATATGAACTGACTCTGGACCCCTACTAAAAACAAATGTTTGGAAAGCTTTCCATTTTATGTGATTTTTGTTGATGTTAATGTAAATATGTCACCTATAAAAATTGTATCTACACAAAACTTGGAAACAGCATTATTTAATCTGCTTAAAAATATTCTAAATGAAGAGTTCCAATCACTTTGTTAACGCATTCACTTAAAAAATATTCAATGTAACTATAGTCCTCAGGGTCCTGGCAAGAAAGAGATAATATGAAAAAAGAGGTGACATTCAATGAATAAACTACTTACAAATGTGCAGACAATGTTAAGAGAACTAGGAAGGGATGGTGAAGCACTCCTGGACTAGCCACACATAGCAGGGAGCCATTATCATTCTAGGCACAGTAGAGGAAGGGGAGAGAATAGTTACTGGAACCAAGAGAGCTATAACTGGAGAAGGCTACACAATGATGGAGCATAGTTACTGACAATCTGCAGCCCAGCAAAGAGGAAGCTGTTAGAATAAATACTCCTGCCTCTCTATCCTCCTGTCAGTGCCTCCCATTGGCTGAACCTACGCAGAAGTCAGAGGGCAGGGAAGACCAGTTAACTCAGTCCTTAGAAATCAACCTTCTGTCGCACACAACACAGTTTACAAAGGTGGAGAATGTATTTTTTTTTTCCTTTTTGTCTTTTTTACTGACCGGTAACAGGATCGCAGCCCTCGGTGTCGCGCCCGTACCAGGGACCGGCAACGGTATCGCAACCCTTGGTGTTGCGCCCGCACTGCGCTCAGCCAGTGAGCGGGAACCGGTCTCCA